GATTGCCACTCAGGCAAACGCGAGAGAGGAAAAAAAAAAAAGCCTCCTACACTGTTGCTCGACTTGCGTTTGCTGCCGTGCACAAAAGCGGAACATCTTTACCCCTCCCCTCGCCTCTGTCTGCTGCCTTTTGTTTTCAAACTTTTATTTTATTTTTTGGGCAGGCGCAATCACAAGCACTTGTGGCGGATCAAATCGATATCCAATCAAATCAATTTGCTGTGAAGTTTAATCAGCTTCCAAGAGCCACTCTTTATGTGTTTTTAATTGCGTATCGAATGCGCGTTTAAAATTCGGCCGGCAACGCCGAGCGAAAAACGGACCAAAATCTGCTCCCTCTTACGCGCTCCAGTTGAGAGGCGAGCAGGAGATGTTTTCAGAGGGAGGATTGGTCATCCCACAATAAAGTGCGCCGCAGTTATCCAGCCAAGTGCTGTTGTGCGAGAGGATGCAAGAATTATTGTGATTATTATTATTATTACTAACAATGATTATATGCTAACCAAAACCGCAGCGGGCAAGCAGTTTCTTAGTTGAATCAAGCAGCGCCAAGCTTGAGGAAAAGGTGAGCTTAGGAAAAGAAGGGGGTGGGAAAAAAAAAGAGGGGCCCCGTGCCCCCTGCACCCCCCTCACATCAAAGCCCTGCCCTCCAGCGGCATCTTGTGATATTTATTTATTGAGATGATTTTGCCAGAAAGACCCCCCCCCCCCCAACAATGGTCTTTGATATGTTGCCTGGCGGTCTTGGGCTAAGGCGGGTTCCAGGGGTCATGAGGGGAGCTGGCGGCTGGAAGAGCGGGTCGCGGAGCGCCGCAACGTTTCCAGATGAGGCGCGGGGAACGGGGGGTGGGGGTTCCTTATTGAACACAGGGACGGGGGGGGCATTGATTACTGTTAAAGGGCCAATTATTGTCTTCCTCCGCCGTTTGAAGGAGTGCGGCGCACATCTGAATGAATATCGGATTAAGATGTCGGCACTTTCGCATCGGCCAGGAAGCTACACAAACGTTAGCGTCCGACAGCTGCCGGATGAAAGAGCGCAAAACTTTCTGTTGGTTCAAATAAGACATTTTAAATACGATCTCAAGCACCTGAAGGGCTTTAACTGTTTAAATTGTTTATGCATGATGAACAAAATCACTTTGAATTTGGACTCCGGTCCGCGGAGGAAGGGTCCCGACTGCTCGTTTTTCATTATTACGAGGCTGTCTCAAAATGCCAAAACGTCCGCTGAGAATTCCTGTGGTGTTTTTTTTCGCGCTCTTCGTCACCGTTTGCGTGTCTCGTAATTGAAGCGCGTCTGCCGCCGTCCACTTTGCGCCGTAACGCAAATATTAGATCTATCCTAAAGGCCTCCCCCACGGCCCATCCTTCAAGAGATCTCCGCCTTGTTGCCTCTTCCTCGCCCGTCAGCCATCTTTGATTTGGGCGGGGGCGCGCTTGGGTACCGACCGGCCGCCGACGGCCATGTTGGGTTCGATAGCGCTCACGCCGCTAATTGAAGCGGCACAAACAATAATCCGTCGCTTGCGCGAAGGGACCATTTAACACGGAGTTGTCATGAAAACAAATGCAGCCGAAACCCCGCCGGTCGCCCTTGAATGAAGATGGATGGGAGGGCTGGCATTTAAAAAAAAAAAAAAAAGCAGCGTCAACTCCTCGCGCCGTCCTCATGCGTTTCATTCAAAGAGCGGGGGAGGCATCAAGTGTGGTTTTGTTATGCGGGGGCCAAATGGTGTCATCCATCAAGGGCGGACACCGCAATTTGCCATCCATTTCCTCCTCGATCAAAATCTTACGCCGGGGCGAGCGTTGGCGCTAGATGTCACCTGCATACAGCCAGCAATCCCAATGCGTCACTCATTCCACCTTTTTTTTTAATTTTATTTAGCCTTCTTGCAACAAACCGCAACATCCTTTTCAACTTTATTTCAAGAGCGCATATGACAATTATTTGGATCGATCGATGGCAAATAAATGTTCAATTGAGCTCAGTTGGACTTGCAACCTGGCTCACAGTGGTCACATTCGGTGTCCTCTCACCCACTGGGGGTGGGGGGGCAGGGGCCACTATGTCTCATAAGGGACTTAAGTGTTATTAACCCGACACATTGACCTATGACCTGTGCGGCAGCCGCCCGCCAGGCGGCAATATGTGCATCGCGTCGTGCTGCGAGGGCCTCCTGATTTATGGCCGCCGCCACGGCGACAAGGCCCCTTCAAATGCTGCCGCTACTTCTTATTCGGGGCGAGGCGTTCGTTTCTTCGACTGACCCGCAATTGGCTAAAGGCGGAGTGTCAATAGGAAGTAAATGTAGTCACGTGGAAAAGGCCATGTGCCGATTTTGTCAGTACACCGAACGCCTATTTAGGGTAAGGCGTTTATTTTCTTTGCATCCGTGTTTGATGTTGTTTGCCGCGGATGAATTGCGCTTCAACATTTGTCATCCGTTGGCTTGAGCTGCGCCGTGTGATTAAACGCCACCTTGCAACTCTTTCATGTCGGATATACGGGGCGCCGGCATTTACTGACACGCCGTTGTGGAAAACGCGTTTGAATGTTTACGATCGCACGCCGCCTGTCATTGATGCGACGCAACGACAGCGTCAGCCTTCTCCTGTCATCGATCCTCATCACAGTTTTGCTCCCGTTCGGATCTAACCGAGAAGCAGAGTTCAGCGTGTACAAGCGATTGTTGGGATTTTTTTTTTTGTAGTTGTTGTCGAGTGCGAGTTTGCTAAAAGAATAAATATGCATGGGGGGAAAAAAAAAAAGCCCTGGCATTCACCATCCTGGGCTGGGAGATGTTCTAAAGACCTCCTCTCACTTTTGCGCCAGCTCGGCTTTACCCGAGTGGCACTACGTTTAAGTTCCCCCATCTGCTTGTCTTTGCATTATCTCGCTCCAGGGCAGGCACCTTGCCCAAAATACACACACACACACACACACACACACACACACACACACTCGCACTTTCATCTTTGGGATGATGACGCACTTTTTGTGTCGCCCACACACAAACACGCACGTACTCTCACACTCCCCCATCCGTAGCCTAGGTAAAGAGGAAAGCGGCGGCCTCCGGAGAGGCGAGGCCGCTAACTTCCTCGCAGCGTTGCGATTGCGGGCGGCTCCATCCCGAAATCGGCAATTCTACATTTGGGAGGGACGGTGCGCAGGGAGGCGAGTCGGCGTCTTGGGTACGTTGCGTCAGGAAGTTTTTTTTTTTTAAATATAAATAAAAATAGGAGGGCTAGTTTTGGTCCGGGATGGTGAGTGCACAGTCCAAATTTTAAAGAAATCATGAAAAATACATATTTAACATATGGGAGGGGTCGATTTGGCTCAATTTCAATCACATCAAAGCAAATGAGTAAATTTAATCATTTCATGTCAACTTTGAAATTGTATTTCTTTATGAAAATGCATTATTGAGGCCACTTTCAAATTGTTTCAAATGTTTTTACTTTTTCACTTATTCTCAAATATTTAAAAAAAAAAAAAAGTAGAATTATTACTCATGTTTTTGGACTCCAAGTGATATTTTAACAATTTTAACAAAATACTTTTTATTTAATAAATACATTAAAAATCATTCAATCAGAATTTTGATTCTAAAATATGACTGAAATTACTTGCAAATTTATCTTTAAAAAAAAAAGTTTTTGAATTTCTATTGACATTTGAGAAGGAATTTATGACTTGCAATTGGATAAAAATGTTCCTTAGGAAAAAAAAAAGGGGGGGGGCCCCACTTGTTTTCCAACACGGCGGTCAACGACGCGTCTTGCAGGCGTTTCTTTTTGGGCTGTTTTTCAACACTTGTCTTGACCTTCCCATGAAAGGAAGGAGCCATAACACAGATTGTTGTATAATTCATCCGCACCCCCCGCCGAGGACGCGCCGCGCCGTCGTGTTCGCGTCTCCATCGGAATTTCCTTTTGTTGGCGCCTGTTTGTAAACGACAGTGCCAGGGCCTCGTCGTCAATTACCTCTTTAAACATTCATCGGCCTTAACCAAGCGCGGCAAGAGAGGCGGGAAGGAGGTGCTTGATTCCCCCCGCACCCCCCGCACGATGAATAGGTTAATAAAAAGATTTCTCTGGCATGCTTGAAATGCTCCCCCCCCCCCCCCCAAAAAAAAAAAAAGACGCACAGTGTCTGCGTGTGCACAATAACAAGAAGACGAAGGAAGAGCTCCTGGAATGACGCTTCCCAGTCGTCCCTATCCCTCCCCACCCAAGCGTTAGCGTCTCCTGAAATACCTCGCGCTGGAAACTCGGAAGCCGCGGACGGCGTTCCCCAGGGAGCCTCTGCTGGTATCATTAGCGCGGCTCAAGTGGCGTACAAACTTCAGCAAAACGTCAAACGAGGGGAAATGTGCTCACATTGCACCTCTTCCTCTTTTTGCCTTTGCTTTCTGATGCCACCGCCGCCGCCGCCATACTCCTTTCCCAAATTAATATTTCTCCAAATAAAAGTCGGGGACAACTTGAAACTAGCGAGGAGAAGAAGAGAGACTTGTCTGAAGTGGAGCCTCCTCTCATTTTTTTTTTTTTTGTTATCAGCTCCATCTTGGAGTCTTCCAAATGATGAGGTCGGCGTTTGGCGTGCACGCGCAGACACGCACACAGTGGCACATCCACTGTGTACATCAGCAAAAAGAAGAAAAGGCCTTTTTTTTTTGTCCCTCCAGAGGAAATTCTGTCAGTGTTTCCTATTGTCATGCATGTACAGACGCACTCGTGCGGGAAAACAAGCACTCCTTTTTCTTTTGGGGTGGGGGCAGTGAGGGTTATCCCGCAACTTGTCATTGCATTCCAAGTCAAATTTTGCTTCCAAATTGCAGATATGAAGAAGGAAGGCCAAGAAAATTGTGTTGAATGTATTGAGTTCTACATAGCCGGACAGCGACAATATCTTGCTGTTCTTCTCCTATGTGGCGAAGCCTTATTTGCAATTTTTGTCTGAGCCAACAAACAGCTGGCAGGCCGTCTGGTCCGCGTGAGCTTCTATAAAGAGAGCACTTGAGCCTGTTATCATGGCAGGCCTCACAAGCGCTGCGTGCTCACTCGCTAATGAGCACTCAGGCCAAACATGGTCCAAACGTACAATTTGACATTTTACATCAGGGGTGTCCAAACTTGGTCCTCAAGGGCCACTGTCCTGCCTGTTTTCCTGCTCTCCCAGGAGCAACGCACCTAATTCAAATCATCAGGATGCTTCAGAGCTGACTGACGAGCTGATCATCTGGATCAGGTGTGTTGCAGCCGCGACAGCTGGAAAACAGGCAGCACAATGGCCCTCCAGGCCCAGAGCTGGACGTGCATGCTTAACACGATGTCATTCTATCATGTACGTTTTAAAATAGTTTTGGTTTGCGACAAAACATTGAGGTAAACGTTGGATTCCGATTGATTTCAATGTGAAGCGGTTAAAAAAAAAAGAATGATGTTGACTCTGTTTCGTTGTTGTTTGAGGAAACTCATCACGCGTTGACAGCCGGAGACGCTAATTGTCAAACGACCGCAGACTTGGACGACGCCACAAACGTTCAACAGCAAGCGGTGAGTGTTTCGCGACTTTTGTTGAGCAAACTCTGAAAAGATCGGGATATGACTGAGCTTTCGGCTGAAATTCCGGGATTATCCACAAATTCTTAGAGGTCAACTTCATTTGTATATCGAGTTATAAAGTTCGATCTGGTCAGCTAGCTAGCTAGCTAGCTATCTGGCTAGTTAGCCAGCTTGCAGCCATCTATCTGTCGAGCGATTTATTTAACGATCTATCTACAGTTACATTTTCGGGCATTCGAATAACAAGGTACCATGGAGGGGTTGGGAGAAAAGTCATTTTTTTAATGAAAAAAATACTTAAATGCTCAACAGCAAGGGGGGGGCGCTATAATCATCTGATTAAATTCTTAGCTCATAACTTTTTTAATATCGATATTCCTGATGGTATTATGGATATGTGTTTCTCTTGGGATCACGCATTTTTTTAAAAGGCCCAAAATAAACCAGAAGCAAGGTAAAAATAAATAAACAAATGCCAAAACAAAGCCCAAAAATGCAAGTTATCCATCATGTTGTGACAGCATTGATGAACAGCACCCCCCCCCTTTCCCAAAATAAGAAATCAAAGTGGTGCTTGCACTGAATTGAACACGAATCATTGCGCTTCCTCCCTCCTGCTTGCTTGCGACATCACATCACATCAAGCTACCTTTGATTGGACTCTTAAAATCATTAGCGCGCCACACACCAAAGAATGAGTGAGCTGTGTGTGCTTGTGTGCGTGTCCCACTGAGTGCTGCATACTGTCAAGAAGGCCGGACCCCCCCTTCACCCTCAACACCCACACACACACATCATCATCCCTTGTCACATCATCCCCCTTGGGGGAGATTTGGATGATGCCTGGACAGACATTTGGATAGCTTGGACTTGACAGAGCTCATACATAAGTATTCAAATTGAATTATATTGGCAAATAACGTATTTTTAATAACCTGAAAAAAGTTACAATGAGGTCTGATTGTACAATAAAGGATGCCAAATTAAGAGAATAGTCACAATTTTATTAGATAAATAATATTGGGAGTGTCTGATTTATTTTCTAGAAACTCGTCATGTAACATGAAAAATGTATTTTACGACAAAAATTACATATAATTTAGAACCAGAATTGCTTTTTTTCTTGCCAGTGTATAAAATACTAGAAAAACAGAACCAAAAATAATGAGAACATTTAAAAAAAAAAGGACATAATAGTTGGATTTTTTTACTGAAACATCTCAAGAGTTTACTAGTTAAATAAATTCACAAAAGCAAGAGAATAAAGTTGATTTCTTCCAATGGAAAAAAGTTGCAATATTATGACAAAGCTTTATTTTTTTTTCTCCAGTGTGACCATCTGGGTGTGAGTCGTGACTTACGCGAGCTCCTTTGGAGTGTTTTCATGTTGTTTTAGTGTTAGTTGCGAGGCTGAAAGTGCATTGGTGACTGTGACTCTTTGCCATTTCACAACCTCAATTTCTCTGCTCTTTTTCTCATTCAACCCAACAATTGAGGAATTTGAAAAAGTCGTGCAAGCGTCAACTCTGAACCAAAAAGAAGTTGAGGTACCACCAAACAAGTAAATTGAGGTCAGTGCATGACTACAAATCCTAAATCAAGGTACTGCTCACTGTATGTTGTCGTGTTATTGGTATGGTTCATGTCAATATTAAAGCATCACTACTTTCCATATCAATCCTGCCCTTGAATGCCTCAACGTCTTGCCGGTCATTATTTATTAGCCGGACACAAAAGACAAGTGGGCGCGCGAGAAGCAAAATAGCCGCCCGCAATTTTCCTCATGTGTGCGTGTGTGCACGCGCGTCCGTCCGCGATGGCCCGCAGTCGTAAACGACAAGCGCGGCGAGCAGCGCTTTGATGTGACAATCATTCCCAAGTTAATTTGTCTTCAGTCACCAGCGCTCACGGCGACCATTGTGCAGTCATCAAGTCAAAAGACAAAGCAAAAGAACACAAAAGCAGGAGAAGACGGAAGAAGGGAAAAAAAAACCCGCTCACTTTTCTGAACGATGTCACTTTGATATGTAGCCTGATGAGAGTTCACCTACAGGCCAAACAGGATCACTACATGTGGACAACTGCATATGTAGAAGTCAAGGAAGTACAATTTCATTGCAACAAAAATCTAATTTTCGCCTTGTTCTACTGACAGTAACAGGGTTGCAAATCAAATGCAGAAGCTATTGTCAGCGTCGGCATTCAAGCGTACATGCCACCTGCGTTAGCTGTAATGCAAACTGCTTTAGAGCAAATGTGGTCAAACAGCGGTGCCTTGAAGAACTGTAATGTTTATTTTTTTTTTTCGGGGTGGGGCGGTGGGGCGGCATTTTTCTTGGAAACACACTTATGATGATACCTTCTTACTTCATCAATTTTTTTCCAATGTTCCAAGTTGCCTCCAGTCTCGATTGCCCTGAGTGTACCCAATGGAGTGGACGGCTGTTGGACACCCTCAGCGTGGTGAGTGAGCGTCTTCTCCTTCCTTGTGCTCTTCTGCCACCTGGTGGTTAGTGTCTGGATGTCTGCCCCCCTCACCCCCCTATCCCTGCCATATCCAGCCACCAACGGTCTTCCCACACTGCTTGGGTCTCGAGAAGATTCAAACTACATACACGCTTACATTCTTTTCTTCTTTGTGTGTGAGATCCTCATGACAGCTGATACTTCTTTTAATGACCAACACAATTAACTTCCAAATAACTAAATAGGTTCTCCTCAGTGTGTATGAGTGTGTGCGCGTGTGTATTGTCGTCATTAAAGTGACGGCCGAAGCGGCAGTCGCAGGCCCTCATTTGCATAATTGAATGGAGTCGCTTGTGTTTTAGACTCTGGAGACCGCAGGCGTCATCATTAAACGTCCTCCTCCTCCTCCTTGGTCTTTTTCTTCTTGTTTTGCCACAACAAAGACATTTAAAAAAAAATACTGACAAATGTAGCAGCACCCCCCCCAAACATCCCCCAACACTGATGAAAACGTTGCCGTGGAAAACTTTACATGTCTAATTCATTCCACACCCACTTGCTCCACCCGCAAAAGCAATCAACTCATAGTTGTACATCTGCCGTACAATCAGCCCTCAAAAATGGGATTTTACAGTGTTTTTTTTTTTTTTTGTTCTTGTTGTTGTTGTTGTTGGACATTCTCAGTACCAAGTGCTCTACTCACCGCTTGTCTGGCTCGCACACGCCGCCTTGACCCGCTCGCAAAAGCTGCTAAGAATAAACTGTTGAATTGGCCAGCAGGTTAAATGGGCGCATAACTTCCTTCCTTGGTCTTCTCCCCTCACCTCTTGTCAGCCTCACAAACGCACCCTCTTGCTCCACTTTCAAAAAAAAAAAAAAAAAAAAGTGTCAGAGTAAACCATTCAATCTGTCCTGTATGCTTACTCTCCCAAAAGTTGCACAGGTGAAATTACACATGGTCCAAGCCAGCTGTTGTCTCCTCAGCTTCACTAACCGAACCCTTGCAACCCCCCTCCCCTTTTTTTTTTTTTTTACCCCCCAGCTCCACCAGACGAGTGTTGGCATGCGAAACGTTTGACGGTGGACGAAGGGGATGAATCACTGAGCAGGTAGACCTTTTCTCCCAAAATATCCTGAAGGGCAGATGAACAAAGGAGCCCACCTGCTCGGAGGGAGCATCGCGCGCCTATCTGGTCAGGTAAGCGTCTTAAACCAGTTGGTGAAATCATGTAGGAACACCGATGATTGTATTAGATGAATAAATATAAATTCTCCGAACAGGCTTGTGGCCATTTTCAGACATATCAATGACAAATGTGCTCATTTTAAAAAAATGTGGAGGGATCTACTTTAATATTATTGTAATATGAATTGAACAATATTAGATGTAAAGTATATTTTGCTATCTAAAAAAAAAAAGACTATTATAATATTGGTCAAAAAAATATTGACTGACCCTGCCTTCGTGTAGTCAGTACAATTTTTTTTTTTAATCCTCAAAGCTTTTCCTCCATAATTCAAGTAAAGCAGTTCGACTCTCAATCGAAATTAATCTTCCTGGCCGGTGATGATTATTGATCATAAAGCGAGTCGATAGGAAAAGTGTGACAAATGTCAAGCTGCAATTGGGGAAAATGAAAGTGTCGCCCCTCCACTCCCCCCACCCCATTCGAAGGCCTCGGCCAGAAGCCTGCCGGGATGCGAGCGTCTCCATGATCCGCTCTCGGAGATACCATCTTTCTATTTGCCCCGCGGCATTACCTCTGTAGGGTAAGGTATTTATTATCGGGAGCGCCGATAACAGCCTTCTCGTCTCGCTCTGCCGCTAAACGGTCCAGTCGGCGCTGCGGGATTGTTTACGCGCCCGCGCGTGTGTGATAAGCCTCAGGACAAACACTCAACCAATCGACACTTTAACAGCGAAATTAATTATAGCGCCGGCCTGCATCGGCTCACCTGTCAGGTCGTGAAAGGCTCACGAAATAACCCAGCAGCGCCATTTGTTTTGGTCTCCCTCTTGTAGGAGCGCAAATATACCATCGGAATGTGTCCTCTGCGTGTTGCTAGGCAGAATGTGAGGTGCGCAATCATTGATGGACCGTGTTCAAAACAAAAATTGTTTGGGTGGATCTAAAAAAAAAAAAAAAATCTTGTATCTCAAAATATTTTTGGTTTGACATAAAAATAGAAATTTTTTTTTTGGACTTTGCTATTTGCATCTTGCTCGGCAACACATTTGTTGTTCAGATGAGGCGATGCAAACCGGACGGAGATCACCGCTCTGAACGGTACGGTAACCGACGTAAAACGAGGCTAAATTCCACCCGGAGACAAATTCCACATGAAAGCCCAACCTTTCAAAAAATAAAACAACATGGGCCGTGTTCTCGCTTGAAACACTTTGGGTGCTTTTTTTTTTTTTTTTTTTTTGCTCCAGTCTCAAGCTACAAATCAGTACTGACACGGGCAATCTGAGCGTCCACAGTGGAGGAAAAAAAAGAAAAGACTGTTCAAACGCGGGTAGGAGACTTGTCGGGCGCTAAGCGCACAATGCGGCTAATGGCCTCCCGTCTGCGACTCCCGGCCGGCGCGCTTAAAAACTCTTTGGCGCTTTCATGTTGCCGCAACTGATGCGCGCGCGCGCGCGCCTTCCTCTTTGGGAGCGCTGTCCCAGATTTAAAGGCTCGTCACGTGCCGCCGGCCCTTTATTTTGCCGTAAACTCTTGTTTTTTTAATCTTCTCGCTTTCCTCGTGGGGACTTGTTGTCATCGGCGGGTTTTGGAACGGGTTGCGGGGGAGGGGATGGCCACAAATGGGAGTTGAAATGGAAGGCGGCTTCGTTTGTTTGGCGGTTGCGTAAGCATATTCTTATGAAGTTGTTTTGTTTTTTTCCCCCTAAAGTCGTTTTGAAGAAATGTAGATTGAATGAGACAGATGAGATTCATCTTGGAGGCTAAAATTCACGAAATGGAGTTGTCCCAGACTTACCTACATACACCCCCCCCCCTTTTTTTGTTTGGACTCTCCCACTTTTCAAGTGAGCAGAAGTATTGGAACAGACATGAAAGTATTATTTTCAAGTGAAAAATAATAATAATTGAATATTTGGTGGCATCAGCTTTGCTCGCAATAAATAATGGCATCAAGCCGCTGACTTCACCAGACTCTTTGAAATGCTTTTGCAGGCCTTCCCTGCAGCCCCTTTTAGTTCTTGTTTTTTTTTGGACAGCTTCTCGATGTCGACTTTGCTACCGTAATTTCACCAGCGGAGGCCGAGGCGCATTACCCCTGGAATTTACAGAGGCCCTTCTTTTTCCCACCTGTTTTTGCACCGACCGTCCCGCACCTGTTCCCCCTTTTTTTCCACCCCTCCCCGTTTTACAGATGTCTTCCCCGATTGCTTGGAACGCGCAAAGAGCTGAATAACTGATGAACGAGATGGAGGCGCGCAGACGTGTGCGATGATTCGAAGCTCTTGAAGTCAGCCAGCCAGCCAGGTGTCGAGTGTTTGGGAGAGCTCACGTTTTGAAAGAACTTGCGAGCGGCGCAGAAAGACAACGAGAGAGCGCCGAGCGTTTGAGAACAATGCGCCGCGCGTAAACAAGTCCTCACATCTCCAAACGCGAGCGGCGAATGTTTGAAAGTTTCCTTTTCCGCGCCGCGCTCATTAGCATGGCGAGCATGTGTTCCTCGCCGCTCGGCTCCGTCCCGGCGTCGCTTTGCCACTTCTTTCCCCCTCTGCCTTCACATCACGTGCGGCTCTTGCCCTCGCAACTTTGGTGTCATCTTTTGGCGGGGAGCGAACCCGAACTCCCGGACTGCGGCACACCCGCGATCCCCGTGAGGGGAAAAAGTGGCTCTGATCATGGATGGATGAAACTAATGCTCAGACTCATAAAACCTGAATTTTTGAAGAAAAAAAAAAACGAAATCGACCTCTCTAAAAAAACCAAACTTTTCAAACTTCTGCATTGAAAGCGTGCGCTCTCCTCCGGCCTTCAATTTGTCCCACGGGCGTTTTTCTCTGCTTAGCTGTTTTTCCCTCGGGTCTCCGGCGACCAAATGTATTTTGCTGTTGCCTTGCAATAGTTTGCAGCAGTGGCTTGGACTTTGCTCTCACCACTTAGCTTGGTGTTCGCATTTCCGGAGAGACCGCTTTAGTGTTGTGGTAGGAGTGCTCCATCCTTCCACCTGGCAGCAGCTGCGTGTGCACTTTTCGCTTTTTTTTTTTTTTTAGGGGCGAGTGTCTTTTGAGCGTGACTTTGTCTTGGCAGCAGGAGTGCACTCGCCTCTCCTTCCAGCTTCCCCCTTCCCACTGCCACCCCCAATGAAGCATCCACGCGGAGACGGCGGCTTCCTTTGCGCCGCGCAGCCTCCATTTTGTGTGATCTCGCCGTGTTGTATAACCCTTTTGCGCTCCTCTTGTGTCGTTTTCTTTTTTTTTATATTATTATTGGATTTTTTTTTTGAAATCCCTCCCTTGCTCTTTCTGTGAGTTACGTTCCGTATTGACTGCTCGCCGCTTTTTAATGTTGCAGGGAAAAGGAAAAAAAAAAGGCCCGGGGCTTGCGGCTGGGTGGTGATGGCGGAGGGAGGGGTTGACTCCTGCCGCCCCCATAGTGAACTCGAGTTCCCAGCGCTCTCGCAAGTACACTTGCTCTTTTCTTCTTCTCTTGCCTCCTCTTTTCCCGCTTTCCCGCACCCCATGCAAAGATCACCTTATGGAAGATTAAGACGTCGGAGCGGCATATTTGCACAAATAACCTTCCCCGCCTTGTCTCCTCATCAAAGCGGGCGAGCGGAGCCGTCCCGCGGGGGGGGCGCCGGGGAGCGCCTCGGTCACAGAGGCCTCGGTCCAAGGCTGCCAGGGAACAAACGGGACGGCTCCTCCGCCGGTCGGCGCACTTTCAGATCCCCTCTTGACTCGCGTTCGTCTCTTTTTTTAACGCGCTTTGGCGATCGATGCGCTGCGCCGCCGCCTGTGATGAGCCGGCGTTGCCTTTAATGGGACTTCAGCCACTGATATCTCACTCCTTGTCTTATTTGATTGCCAGGGTGCAGGAGTTGGGGGTCGGGGGGGCAGGTCCGCCAGGTGGCCCCTCT